CCCCCCCCCCAAACGCCACACAATTTCCTATATAAAAAAGTCCATAGTAAATCCTATATATAAAGTGGGCACATTTCATGCAAGGGGGTAGTACAATCCACGTAGCCCCTGCTCCAGAGTACCGCAGCCCGCAGCCGCGGTACGTACCGTCCGTAGCAGAGGAGCGAGGGAGAGCGAGAGCTTGGGGAGAGTAGTCACGATGAGCACAGTCTCCGTGGGGATTCCTATCAACAACCCCCTTCGACAAGACGCCTTGGCTAAACCGTCTGCCGAGAGCGAGCGGATGGCACGGAGTTTGTTTGCCGCTGCGGACACAACTTCGGCGACGGTTCAGGAGTCGACGAGGGCACCGCCTTGCAGAATGAGGCTTCGCACAAAAACGAAGAGTGAGTGTAGATGAGTACCATTTGGTGAGATTGCCTTGGTTGCATTATAGTATAATCTGCCTCGCAGCAGCAGCAGCAGCAGCAGCAGCAGCAGCAGCAGCAGCAATAGCAAGAACAACCTACACAACAACCCACACCAAGGTTGGACGCAACCAAGAGTGCGCGAATGCGGGGCCCTCGCGATGCAACTGCCGTCGTCGTGTTGTACGCACCAAACGTGGTTGTACTGCTGCCCGTGTAGCTGGCAGCGGCGTCTGCGCGTGTGTTGTGATGCTTCCCATGTAACTGGAAGCAGCAGTAGCGGGAGCCTCAACAGCAGAGGCAGAAGCCGCAGCGGTAGCTGAGCAGCATGACAACTTGTGACAACGTTTGAGAAAAAAAATGCGCGAAATGCAGACCGGCACCACCCACAAGGCTGTGTGCCACGGGGATATTCGTGCCTCTGCAGAAGAACTGGCCTTTACATTGGTGTCCCCTGCCCTTGCCTGCCACTTTGCGCACGCCCATCGCATGCGAGCAGATCGCGTTTGCCTGTTGCGAAAATCGCTCAGAAGAATAGCAGTGGCAACTGGGTTTGCACCACGTGCCAGCACTCTTTCGGCTCCGGTGAAGGGCTGACCCAGTTTCATGTGAACCGGCGCGAGAGGTCGACCGCACACATGTGAGGGCGATGGCCGTCGGTGTCCGCAGTTGCATTCTCGAGTAATTTGGACTGCTCACTTGTGCTTACCAACATTTCAAGACCTTACAAAACCCGTTACTTTGTCTATCCTCGCCGCACGCATGTCGCGCAAAGTATCAGTGCGTGCATGCAGCTTTGTCGATGTGTGCGAATGCGTCGCCTACTACGCAACTTGACACAGTATGTACAGTAGAACGATTAGATCATTAATTCCGTCTCTCAACGGCGGATCAATCAATATTTATTCACATCCGCAGGCGTGGTGCTGAAGCTAAGCGTCAGAGGAATACAATGCTGAGGTTTTTTAAACCGAGTATCGCTCGGGCGGCGGGAAGGGGTCGAGGGACGTGATGGGTCGCAGCGGTGGCGCAAGCAGTGACGTTTAGGTGGTTACGACGGGAGTTGCAGGCGGGCGTGAGGGCGGAGCAGGCGCGGGTAGCGACGCTGAGGTGGTTGCGACGGGAGTTGCAGGCGGGGGTGGAGGCGGAGAGGGCGCAAGCAGTGACGTTGAGGTGCTCTCGACGGGAGCTGCAGGCGGGCGTGAGGGCGGAACGGGCACGGGTAGCGACGGTGAGGTGGTTGCGACGAGAGTTGTGAACGGGCGTGAGGGTTGTGAGGGGGCGAGCAGCGAAATGGATGGAACTTTCTCCGACGCTGCACACGAGAGAGAGTGGTTCGACCGATATGGTGCGCGTCCAAAACCCCCTCCGCTGCGCGGGATTGCGTCCGAATGTTCGGGAGCCTCTTCTCCAACACTACCCAGCAGCTTTGCATGGTGTCGTCAAAAAGGGGCTGTCGTGGGAGGCTCGGATAGACCCGAATGGCGTGGCTCTTTACGCCGTGGAATCCGTCTCCCGCGGCATCCTGAGCCCAGGTTGTGCTGGAGCAGTGAAAGAACCAGGAGGCACGTGCGAGCCGTGTGTTGACATCAAGGGTAGTAAGGTTTACAGAGGTGAGACCACGTAGCGAAAAAAACGCGAAATAGGAAGGCACAACTAGGAAGGCAAGACAATTTAACTGTCGTACCCTCATTCCACCACACATCATGTACTTTTTTTTAATTGGATTGTTCCCTCTGCACCCCTTCCGTCTTGGAGCAGATCTGGTTCAACGATCATCGTTGGAGCCAGAAGACTCAAGGTTGAAGCACCTTGCTCTAGTTTTGTTGACTCCTCACCAGCAACGAGGCAGGCTGACGCGGTGGAAGAAGAAGTTCGAAGTGCAGAAACTGTACACTTTGAACCAACTCAGGAAGTGCGCGGCTTTGCATGGTCGTGTTGCACTCGCGAAGAGTATCTTCATTTACATGGCAGACAATGACGTGAAGGGCATTCGAAGGTTGATGGCTCAAGCGCGGCGAGACGGCTTGTCGCTGAGTGGTATCATGCATAGGTTAGAGCAGGCGGTGAATGGCAAGTATAGTGCAAAAGGGTTCAGCGAGGATGAGTTTGACTTGGCAATACTGGAGGGGCTTCGGGGAGTGAAGAATAAGTACCATCCAAG